CCCCCCCCCGTTCTTCCCGTCTTTACTTTCACCTTCCTTCTCCCCAGCTGCTTAGAAAAGGCTGGAAGCCAGAGGAAGAAAAGGGGTCCCAGCACCGGCGCGCACACGCGCGGTGCAGAAGCAGGGGAGAGGGGCCCTCGATGAAGGGAGAGCACCGAGGGCTGAAATCTCTCTGGGAGAGCTGGGAACATACGGCAGGAGGCAGAGTGCCAAAGCTCGCGGCACGCAAGAGACTGAGCAAAGAGGCAGCACAAGCATTTTCCTGTTTAGTTAATTAATCTTAAAAACATTAATCCTTAAAGATGGTGACTTGTTCTACAAGGTCCCCATGGCTAAAAACAGCATACAAAGATCCGGTGGCTTTGAAACCACTACCTGTTCTTTTTTCTCCAAAGCACTGATGGCAATCTTTTAAGCTGACATAGAAAGGTGCAATTTCACTAACGACAAGGCCAGCTCTCTGCTGAGGGTGTTTTCCCCTCTTCTGAAACTCGCAGATCCACCAGCCAGCAGCGTGACTGCCCTTGCTCCCACACCACCGGGTCTGAGAGCTCTGCCCTCTTCATAAGCAAGACTCCTGGAGACACAGGGCTGGCTGGACAGACAGCTGGGCAGGCTATGGGAATGCAGAACCCAACTTGCTTCTTCCAGAAACCTTTATTCCAAGCAGCTTTTGAGCTAAACAGTAAAGAGTCCGAAGGTGACAGTTACAATCCCTACCCCACAAGTCCTTGCACATGCATCTTCTCTTCTGACGTCTTGAAGGGAAAGCTGATGTGGGTATTAACTCTCAGTCTTGCTGCTCTGTGACCTGTTCAAGTGGTCAAAGCTTCTTTGGAGCATGGAAAGGGAGATCTTTAGCTGTGAAGACATAACCATCATACCCCCTCAAATTCTTAAAGTTACTTTCCTGCATGAGTGAGTGATATCAGGAAAATAATGTCTCCCTCCTCCTCTTCTTTTAAAGATCTCATGCAATTTCCTCCTCCTAGTTTCTATAAACAGTTGCCTCACTGTGCTTTCCTAGCAGCTCTGCTCAGATTATAATTACCAACAGTGCACTATGGTAAAGCCTTGACACCCTACCAGACAACAGTGCAGAAGATACACCACCCCACTCATTTTTAGTCACAGTTCATGTTTATGGCATACACTCCAAGGAACATGCCTGGCCCTTCGAGTGCATTTTGGGGCATAAAATGTGACTAGAATATTGACAGCCTTCAGAAATCACAAGGTAACAGGCACTAAGATGTGTCATTACTTCCAGACAAAAGCTGGTTGAATTCTCACTTTTAAAGTTTGTTTTAAAGAGGTGTTTTTTAATTATTTTTTTTCAATTTACACTATTTTTTAACACTTCAGAATTAGGAAGTGTTTGGGTAGTAAGCAGAGAAAATTAAAAGAGCTTGGAAACCAGGAAATTGATTTCTACAGTGATATTTCCAGCACTTAGAAGCTTTTTCAAACCATGATTAAAACAGTTAATAGCAATTTGGTGTGCAGAGACACCTTTGAACTAGGAGTACAAAAAATGGCTTCTTTTCCTACCCTCCTTTAGCACGTGGGAGAACACAGAGCAAACCGGTGATGGATAGAGGTACGTGTGAACTCCCCCACAGCTTTCCTAATGTAATAATTTATTCTGTCACATTTTAAGATATAAAAAAGTAACTTAAAATCAGAACACTCATAAGTTTTCAGTAAATAACAAAGTATGTAGTTACTATCTTTTACTTACGGAGTTGAAATTTAAGCCCATGAATTTACCAGTCCTGGACTTCAGGATCAAGAGACACACACCACCATTCAACAATAAGAGCCTGGAAGTGTAAATTACTGGGAAAGAGGAGGATTAACTCCATAGCTTTGGAGCCTCTCAGAAACTTAGGGTCTTTAGAATTTATATATTTTTCACTGGAGATTAGGTGGCCCATTGATACCAATGCTAAGTGAAGCTCTCACCAATATCCAGAAGAGCAGTAGGGAGAAAATCCAGGTCAAACCTGAATGAAGAAACCCCATAATGAGGCAGGCAAATACTTAATACTGTTTTGAGTCTTAGAAAAGATGATCTGTTTTGAATTACTCCGGTGTTTGCTTTGTCATGGTTCAGAACTGCATCAGTGCATTTCACCAATAAAGGTAATTGACAGATTTAAGAAAATTTCATTAATATTCAACCTTAGTCCAAAGGAAAAAAACAAAACCTAAAACTAAAACACCAGAAACATGAGCATTGCCTTTGTGCCAAATGGAAACCCAGGACAAAACAAGGAAAGAAGTAATGAAAACTTTAGTCAGCACCAGAAGAAATAAGAGAAAAAAGCTATGATGGCAGAAAACACTTGAGCTGAGAAACAGAGTATAAG